CTTGTTCCGTATTTGAGCAGTTAATATTTATTTCCGGATACGGTGTAATATATGCGATCTTATCACCTCAGATTGTCACGATTTGTTTAAGCTGTTGACGCTCTTCCGTGATACAAATTGTTGTCAACATGTTTATCTGGCGTACGTGATACATTTTGAGATATATTATGTATAATGTTATGAATTATGCATTTTTGAATACAACTTTTTGATTCTAAAAATATATTGAATATTTATTTATTTATTATTATCAGGTTTTATATAGACCCATAAATACGTATCTTATAGATACATAATAATACAAGTATGGACTGCGATGTGTGACGCAACGACTTGTAATAATTTATAATCATATTTTTTTAACAAAATAATAATAGTAACATATTCCTGTCGCGTTGAATACCGGACTGACCTAATCAACTGAAGGCATGCTCAGTTCGAGTATAAAGGTCTTGGAAAGAGAAGTTTTTATAGCTAATTTATCACTGGACGAGGCAGGAACTGTCTTTACATCTCTGTATAGTATTTTAACGTTAAAACAAAGAAGGATATTCAGTCCATTCACTGACATTGTCCGGCCTGCCCCAGGCCAGTCACCTTGCGGCCAGACACCCGGAAACAGATATTACACTTGCACATTTTTTTCTTTTGTTTTTTTTTTATTGCTTCTACAAGGTCGAGCCCTTTAGGGCTTTTCAAGAAGCAAGGTTAGATCTTTTCTAAATGAAGCGCCTTTATAATGAAAGTCAGTCAATTACATGAAATTATATCATTTGATAGGTTCCAGAACCATGTTACATTTTTTTTATACCAAGTGGCGGGACGAACATATCTTGCGCCTGGTGGTAAGCGACACGCGCCTATCCATAACAGTTGCAGTGCCACTTATAGCTTTAAATCTCAAAGATCTTAGGGGCACTGCCATTGCATCCGCAGTACTTCCTGGACGGTCTCTTTCACAAGAAGCTTAACGTGTTCTCTATGATATGTTTGATAACGTTTGGTGCACCCTAAAACCTAGCTTGCTATTTTAGAGACTTTGAAAATTAAAATTACATTTTAATAGTCTCATATGCAGATACAAAGCATAGAATTTTAAGAAACCGCTGTTATGAATTATGGAAACAACGTGTTTGCACATTTTTTTAAAATAAAATGATATACCTGTAATAATAATATCTTGAATATTTTAAGTTTTTTTATTGTGTTTAAATTGTAGTTATTGCTCAAGAGTAGATTGATTTTTCGTATATTTTCAACCATCTTTCGCAGAATATCAGCGAGTGCTTTAATTCCACGGTTCTTTGTAGCTGAGTCGTAGATTGTCTAATTACTATTAACTTGTTTGAATGACGTGTTAAATAAAGTAATGTATTGGAAATGAAACTTTTTTTTGTACTAAATGGCATATCGTCTGTTTAGAGGCAAAACCACATAAGTGACATTTTGCACAAAATCTTTTTAATTTATGTCTATGGTAAGAAAATCACTATCTTTCTGCACGTGAAGCTCAATAACAAAAAAGCTATAAACTTACTGAGAGTTTTATCTGCAATAAGATGGTAAATTTCTTACAACTGGTACATAATTTGGAGGTTTTTTTTTGTGGAAAATATACGTACCGTAGTATACGTAAATATACGTAACGATATATTTGTATTTTCAAACAAACTAACATTTCCAGGCTTTATAGGTTCCACGGTCACGACATTAGCCTTAAAAATAGTATAAAATATTTATGTGGTTATGTAATATTGCTACAGTTTTTTTATGATACCAAGTGGCGGGACGAACAAGTCGTGCGTCTGGTGTTAAGCGACACGCCTGTTCATAGCAGTTGCAGTGCCATACAAAGCTTTTAATCGCACAGATCTGAGGGACACTGCCACTGTCACCCTGAGACATAACTTGACAAGTCTCATGTGCTTATTATTTCACCAGCACCCCTACCATTCAAAACTAAGCAAAACATTACTGCTTGGCGGCAGAAATAGGTATGGTGGCAGTATTTCCCAGGACGAACTCTTTCCCAAGTAGCTCTACTGCTACTTTATGGAAATACATTTCCAATGTGTAATAATCGCAAAAACCCAAGAACTTAATATAAAGCAATATTATTTTTTTATTATAAAAAACTGTATTCAGTTAGGTTAACGTATCCCTGTAAGATTTGACCATGTTTGTTGACAATTTATTTCTTAAGTTCTTGCATATTATTTTAAAAGCCTATTCACACTTAGTTAATGGCACTCTATGAACACTTTATGAAAATATGAGGTCTTATCAAACGGTAGGCAAGTCATTCGTGCAGAAAATAGATTTTGGAGATAATATGTTAATTTAAAACTAATTGGCCATTTATTATGGCAAATTATTCTTTAAACAACAAAACTGTGTCCAATTGAGGGCGTGAGAGGTCTTATACCTGTCAAACGCTCAACCTCAAAGTTTAAAAACAAAGCAATTATGTAATAGACATAATTTCAAAAATTTATCAATAAAGTTATTGTAAGAACACGCGACCACCATGTTTGTTCCTTCCTAGAACATGCACGATGTGGAATGGTGTCACTCTTGTTTGTGAATAGTGGCATATTTATTTTGTTACAAAATGATTTTGTTTCATTAAGGATTATGTTTTATCGATATAAGAAATAAAATAGGGGTATTGGGGGTTCTTACATATAAACACGGTACGACGTCGCGTAAGCCCTTAGGGCTCTTACATATATTGCGTCGTAGCACGACGCGACGTCGTATCGTATTTATGTGTAAGAGCCCTAACGGAACGCTGATAAGAGAAAAATATATTTGACAAGAAAGAAATTGATTTTGTTTTGTTTGGATTTATAGTGAAAAGATATCATATTATAATTTATAACAGTCACTGCAGTCTCATTTCTTTGTCTACTGTGAATATTACTCCTTAAGTATTTCCTTTGCGTTATGACGTGGGGTTTTTCAAAAAGCGTGTCAACAGGGCTCTCAAACGCTAGTAACGCATAGGCAGCTTATCTGACGTTGCAGATGTCCATGGGCGACGATGACCACCTCCCATCAAGTTGCTCGTCTGCTCATTTGCCTCCTACTTTACATTAAAAAAACTGCTTTATATGGATATAGCTAATGGTACACAATCCATTGATTTTTTTTATATTATTACATTCACAGCTCATATATCCACACAGTAATGTAATAACAATATGCCACACATTGTCTAATATCAAACTCCTTGTACTATTGCTTTGTACATTTCGCAAAACACTCAGACCAGAAACAATTTAGAATAATTCGATTCCCAAATTGGTTCTAATGCGAATTAAAGTCCCTTGAACCTCTCTATAAAGGCGCCCATAAAACCATGTTCAAATTGATGTTGTGACAAATTATTAATAATTGTAACTTTAAAAAAAACCAATCTCAAAAGTTTGCTTATGTGCTTTGTGAGGTTTTCCTTTTGCCAATACTAAGCTTTCTTTGGATATTCCCCTGCGTTATTAGTTGAAGAAATCGGTATCTTATTACGAGGCCAACATACTGCAGCTTCCTTCCCTTTACGTATTTCCAACTTTTTTCCCATTCGGTTAAAAATACATAGTATTTCATAATTAACGTGTCGATGGCGATAGTAACATTTTACGTGCATTTAAGACATCAACCCTTATACTTGTGTTCATTATATCACTGCAATCCTTTCTTATACGTATCATCCTTCACACTATACAAGATGGACTTTCATAAAATTATGTTACATGTATTTTATGAGATACGTAAAATGTCAACAACATAATGTCATCTTTTACGACCTCAATAGTCCAGCGGTTAGCGTAGTGGGCGCTAGATAAGGAGGTCACGGATTCGATTCCCGGTAGTTAAGTAGCAGTAGAGTTCTTTGTGACAGAGTTCGTCCTGGCAAGTACTGCTACCTTACCTATTTCTGCCGCCAAGCAGTAATGTGAGCAGTGATTGTGTATTGAGTGATTCTCTGGAGGAACTCTTTCACAAGGAGCTCCATTGGTGTTAGAATTTCAAATACTAATACTGTATTTATTTTATTTTTGATTACAATTATAGTTATACTTAAGGATGAATAATCAAATGCCATTAAGGATTTTTCCACATATAGCAAATTACACAAAGTGCACAACAAAGATAAACAATACAATAATATGTAATATAGCTTTATTTACATGTGTCAGCTTGTATAAAGCTGTATTACATATTATTGTGTTGTTTATCTTTTGCTTTGCTTGGTCTCAAACTAAGTTTCTTGTACAAAGGACAAGAGCAATGGAATTTACTCTGGGGCACTTCCCAGAATACTCAGACCAGAACCAATTTAGAAAAGTTCGTTTCCCAAATTGGTTCTACCAGCAATCGAACCCTGGACCTCCGAATCCAGCGACCATAGTGTAAACCGTTAGGCCACGGAGGTCGTCGGTCACAACGGCACAAAATCTACTAAGAAATTAAAGAAATAATGATAAGAAAAACAAAAATAAAAACGAACAAATATACAAAAGTAGGATGTGGATAGAAAGAGGCAAAATTTAATCACAATGATTCAGCTTCCGCGTCTTTCAATTTTATAATTGTGGCAGTAATTTTGCTTCTTAATTGAATTTTCTATTTATACAAAAGTATTACTTATTTAAATATCATATACAGTGGATTGTGTTCTATTTACTACAAAATCAGATTTTTAAGTCGTATCTATAACAATTTATTAATTTCAAGACGATTAGGTCAATAATAATAATAATATAATTAATATAATTATTAGGTTCTATAATAAAGTTGTCTAAATCACACAATCCAAATATTTTAAAACCAAAATATTGAAACCGAAAATCGTGTCCCATTTCTAAAATTGTCTAGACAGAGTTTGGTAAATTAGTGCTAAGGAAAGAAGTAAAGGAGAGCACAGAATGCTTCACTTCCAGCAAAGACGGAGGTCGCCACGCTGTCCTATATAACGACAACTCACCGCTTCAGGCCTTACTAGCCTTCTTACGCGCACGCCGCACACAGCTCCCAACTTAGTCTAAACTCCAGTACGTAAAGAAAAATTTTGAAATCACGATTTAATCGTGTCAACAAGCAAGGTCGAGGCCTGTGATATACAAAGATTACGAAACAAACATTCAAATTAACTTTACATTTGTTACGGGGTAACTGTAACGTGTTTAAATTACGTGATCAATAAAAATTAAGTGGTGTAACGTGGCATTGTGTACCACCACCGTGACCACTGTGTTTGTGTTGCAGCGGGAGCGGTTTTCCAGCTTTGCGCAGCCCGAAGGCGTCAGTCTGCGTTTACGCATCAAACACTCGGCCACAGTGCGCGCGGTTTTGTGTATCCGTGATAGTGAACGTTACAATCAATCAACATGAGCAACTACATTAAAATTGTAAGTACATTTTAATTTTTTACCAAAAGTATAATTATGCAAGTAACTATTATTATATTATAAACTATTATTATATATATAAAGTAAATATTATTATGCAAGTAACTCCTTAAAACGGTATTATTGTGCAATTATACACGTTAAATATTAGCTTATTACAACTACTTTACATTATAAACTAAAATGGTGAAATGTTACTTAATATAAAATACGAATATTTTTTCATAATAACGGAAATTATTATTTAGTCGGCGTTAGTCTATATTTAACGCAATTTTGCCAAATTATTTTAGGAAATACAATTTCATTGTGATAGAATATTTTCATATGAATGCTATACAATCTCACGTTTACGTTGATACAATGTCAAACCAGGTTTAAATTTAACATAATAACCCGTTAAAGTTACCTAATTGGGTGGAACAATGGTTTTCATCTAATCTGAGACAATATGGTACACGAAACTTGAGAACATTGAGAACAAACATTCTTACGAGTTACTTGACAATCTACAATAGGCACACTATATTGTATTGAAATGTTTAAATATATTAAGTTGTTAGTTGTTAATTTTTATAATGCGTTATTTAAATAAAAACTATAATATTATACACATATTTTTAAATTTGAAAAAGAAAAATAACACTGTTTGACCCATTTAAAAAAAATCTATATTTTATACAATTCCAAAACTAGTGAAGGGAACATGCTAAAAGTAACAGGAACAGGTTACAAAAGTAAATGTAACATCGATGCAACAAGATTAATAATTGCTTCAATAACAATGACAGAATAATGTATCGTGTTAGTAAAACGACCATTAGTGGAGCAAGTGGGTAAAAACAAATTATGTCAGTATATCTTCGACATGTTGAATTTAGATAAATGCTTTTGGAGATAGATGATAGGAATGTTGTAATATAGAGTAGTTAAACCATGAAAAAAATATTTATAGTGCTCACTGCTTTAGTAAACGTTTAGTAGACCTTTGTAAATAAATAATATGTAACTGCCTCCGTGGCTGAACGGTTACCACACCGGACTGCTACGCAGAGGTCCCAGGTTCGATTCCCAGGCCGGGAGAAATATTTGTATGGCCTACATTTGTTTCTCCCGTGAGTTTGGGTGTAATTTGTGGTTGTCTATATGTGTGTCCGTGGCACCCGCGACACAGGGTTTCCCTAGTGCGGGGCTATGTTGAGTGTGTGAGTTACTATTAAAAAAAATATATATTATAGGTTAATTGGAATTAAATAATCTATTTATTAGCACTATGTTGTATATGAATAACTAATTCGTTGAAGCAATTTTTTTAATTGTAATTTTTTTTAAATTAAAACTACATATTTTCATTGAATTAAAATGACATGAAATTTTATACAGCGCACAAATAATATTTAATTAGGTCATGTGCATATTCCGTTACTCTTGTTACAATGTAGACTAAGATTTATTTACGTTTGGAAATCAAGAATCTATATATAGATAATACTTCCTTGAGGCTGTACTTAGTATGGTATTGTAAATTACTTTGTTAAAGGCAACTTTGCTTTTTATTCAGATTTGCTTAGAAGTTAGCATATTAGCCATTGTTAGGTTAGTAATAACGGTTGTACTCGTACTTATTCATATATGATATTAAGTGTAACGCCCTTAGTTCTAGAACGTATTCATACACTTTGGTATTTTTAAAAACTAGGCATATTTATTTACAATAATAGCTTTGAAATTATTTTAAAAATACTATAATTTCGTTGTTACAAATACAAACTTTAAAAAAAGATAAATTACATCACCAATTTTCACATTATTACAATTACAATTCGATTTAAATGAAATTGTAATCATCGATTAAATTAAACATATCAACCGACAGACAAATCAATTTCAACTTTGTTGCCCAGGCGCATGTCAGGCGCAGTAATAATGGATTCGATCGATCGACGATCGCTATTACTCCACCTTTCGATAAATGTATGAAATTAGTTCCTTGCGTAGTAAAATTTATTTTAGTCTGTTCTCAATATTACTTTTTCCACTTTCATGTATTTTAATACATTCTTTTTTAGTTCCTTTTAATAATCTGAATCGCTATAAATCTATAAAAGCTTCTAAATATTTATTTTTGTACATTTCATTTTATGAATTCGTATATACGGTTTCACCCTGTGGATGCGAATTCTTTAAAATGTTTCTTTTTACTAGCAGTAGAAGCCAACAAAAATTTACACCAAACTCAATATTGCAGCTTAAAACCTTCTACAATAAAAGGATAATCTAGATAAAAACATTTTCTAACAAGAGCACACTAATGGGATTTACTTGAATCTAGACACATTATACCAGGCGATGTTGCTCAAAGATTTGCCTAATGGACTTTCATCTTTATGTAGCTTGAAATAATAATTGTTTATGACAATGTCTTTTATAGCTCTAAATAAGAGTATAATGGCCTATTAATTCCAACTTTACTAGTATAGAGCGGCTTATTGAATAGAATGTGGTATATGTAAGAACAATAATAGTTTATAAATGGTAGGAAGCATTCTTCGGTTAGTTGAAAGTTACACTAACTTGCACTTATATTAACGTGACGATGGAGCATTATTCAGCACTAAATATAGTAGACAATGGAGTTATTCAGCGCTTACTGGAATCAAATTTGCAAATACCCTGTATAATAAAAACCGGAGCGTCGAAATTTACTCCAGGGCCCTATCCGATCAGCGCCGATCAGAACCAATTCAGAAAAAGTTCATTTAAAAAAAAATCTAATCGAATCCATCATCGTTTTGGTTGCTACGCTCTGAGACACTGAATCAGTATGTAGCTTTTGTTACCTTGGAGACCATAAATGCTCCATTATTGATGTAGCATTTACAGTATTTTGTATGGCGATTTGCAAAAACTATATTACCATATTATGTACTATATACTTGCATTGATTTCTCACAGGTGGCGGTATGGCGAAAAAGTCGTTAAAACCAACAAACAAAAATCTGTAACAAACGCACAGAAAAATTCGTAAGGTGAGCTGACTCGATCTGTAGTTCAGTTGGTACAGCGGACGTCCTGGTATGGCACAGATGCTAGGTTCGAGTCCAGTCATATCGTTGGAATTTTTCTTTGTGTTAGATTTTTGTATTAATAATTATAACAAAGTAGTAGAGATTACTCTTCAAAAAAATAAATTAATATCATGGTAGTATAACATCATAATATTCATTAGAATCAATATTAGTATTACAAATTATTTTTTCATTTGGTTATTTTTCAATAATACACGTAAATCTTCTAACATTAACTTGAGATAAACTTAAACTAGTTACCGTGTTATGGAATAGAATGTTGTAATTGAAAGACGTGAGATATATTCTGAGCTACGGGTTAAGCTGTACAAACTTGCAATTTACGCTATGTAACTAGCGTAAGGTACAATTTTCAACGGAGAATTTACACACATTGGATACTTTACGTTACACCCCACTATACAAGCTGCGAGTATAATAATAATGGCAAATTGCATTTCGCTTGATTTACTATTCGCGTTTATTTATACTTTGCTCTTTTATTGCACTACATTGAACCCAATCACTTTATATTAGGTCATAAATATCTTAATTATAGTTATATATATTGCTAGAGTTTTTTTATGATACCAGGTGACGGGACGAACAAGTTGTGCGCCTGTTGGTAAGCGACAAGCCTGTCCATAGTAGTTGCAGGGCTTTAAATTGCAAAAATCTGAGGTGCACGACCACAGCGTTCGTTACTTTTAGACATAAGTTGACAATTCCCATGAGCCTGTAACTTCAGAAAATTAATTTCAAAACCGGAATGTAGTAATTGCTCTCATTACTGCTTGGCGGCAGATATAGGTAAGGTGGCAGTACTTCCTTGGACGAACTCTTACACAAGGAGCTTTCTTGCTGCTAATTCTCATCAAAAGTTTATTCATTTTAGTGGCTTTATTTTAAAAGTTTAATGTATTATTTATGAACATGTTTAATTATTTTGCAAAAGTTTCCACCCGTACACATCTGCTTACCTGTACAACAACTCAAATCACGAGGTAAAAGTGTGTTCAGAATTCGCAGCTAAAAGTATATTGCACTAGTTGCTTGGGTTGATTTGCGATTTTGTCGAGAATGGAATAGAAACATTTATTTTATATGAATGTCACAATATTATAATTCATTAACACTTTTTAATTTAAAAAATCGATCTAAAATGTTTGTGGAATTACATATATTTGCCAAGTTTTATCGTATTTATCCCCTAATGTAGAAGGGGAATGTTTTCTTCAAATTTGAATGGGACCATTGCCAAGGTACTCCCTTTCCAACGAAACACTGAAATCGGTTCACAAATGTCGGAGTAATTGCATAACATACACAAAAAAATTAAGTAAAAAAAAGGACGAATTGAGAACCTCCTCCTCCTCCTTCTTCTTTGGAAGTCAGTTATAAATTTAATATCATGGGATAATATGATCGTCACTAATATAAACAAAAATAATGAAAGTAGTATAATTAAAAATATAAATAAACTCAAAATATTGTCGAAATAAATTCCTGTACATTGTAAAATTCATTATCCAATAAAAGGTATTTAAAACGTTTCGCCGTTTGTAATACTTTTCAGGTTTGTGACATTGTTAGCATAATTATCGTAGCAGCATGTCGCGTATCATGTTGCATGAAAAAAAAATCGTTACATAAACGATTAGTTATTATTATTATATTTATTTTCTGCCTAACGTTTTGTAAGTTTACGTGCTCAACTTAGAAGCTAAGTAGTCTGCGTAAATCGGATGACAGGCTTGTATGGTGACCGCGGTAATCATAAAATCGTTGCTATTTATCTGCTAAATAAGTTTTATTTTACTTTATTTATCGATTAACAACGTCCAAAACGAAGCATTTTGCATGAAAATGTGGTTTTGTCGGAGTTTTGCATTTCTCTGTGGTTTCGCTATCTTGTTACTATAACATTGTCAA